TGTAGAGTTCTATTCTTTTTTAAAACATGTATTTTACTATGCTCATGAGAAATTTGAGCACTATGATCATTGCTAAATTTAGACTAGTTTTTGATCATCATTCTAAATTTAGCCTAATACTCGACCATCATATCTAAATTTGGCAGTAAGGAAAATAGTTTTTAACCAAAATCACGTGTAACCCTTTTTTAAAAAAATTTATTGCATTTTTGAACGAGTCACGAAATTGCAATTTTTGAAATTGAGCGCGTGGCGCAGCAATAGGAGGTCTTTAGACCGAGCCAACCATATGAAAAATTTACAACATATCTTTGAAGACCTGAGTTATTATACTGATAATTTTAAGTATAGTTTATTAATAAAGTTAAGTTAAATAAGTAGTTTAAGATTCAAGATGAGTTACCATGCACTATATTATTGTTAAATTAAGCAATATTAAATAAATTAGTTCAAAACAACTTTTTCACTACAGAATTATGTTAATATGAATTTTTTCTTATAATTAAATAGAGATGTCTAAATTTCAGCAGTATGAACACTGCTATCTTCCAACACCATACACATGTACTGATAATTCACATTTGGATCCTCATTGCAAGTTCTAGACAATTTTTAGATATTACATGATGGTATATTAAAGGGAATCAGGAAAAAAACTTGGTATCAATTTTATTTGGGTTTACTAACATTAAAAATAGTCTTTTTCAGCTTTCTATTAACATTTCTGACAATCAAAAGGTTTTATTTCATAGCTTAACTTTGGAGATATCTTAATGTCCTTCCTAAGGTTATTGCTTCAAATTCCAAATCTGATAGGTTTAAAGACACCTGCCATAATTGGTTATTTGCGGCAATGGTAGCTACCATAGGGTAGTTACCCCTGGTAGTTACCATTATAAAATAATTACGGCTGCCGCAAATAATTATGGCTGCCGCAAATAGATACGGCTGCCGCAAATAGATACGGCTGCCGCAAATAGATACGGCTGCCGCAAATAGATACGGCTGCCGCAAATAATTACGGCTGCCGCAAATAGATACGGCTGCCGCAAATAATTACGGCTGCCGCAAATAGATATAGCTGCCGCAAATAATTAATTGCAAATTTTATTTTTCACCAACTAGAGTATGCGAATATGCCGGTCACTGGGATTTTTATTTTATTTTTTTTTATTTTTTTTAAAAAATTTGGCAAGATTTTTAAAACATTATATGATTATTTCAATTTTCGTTTTGACTATTTTCTATATTAATTAATTTAATTATTAACGTTATTATTAATAATTAATAAAATGATGTAAAAATGATGACATTACAAAATGATATCATTTTTTTTATTTTTATGATATCATGCAAAAATTAGGTTTTTTTTTTAGGCTTTTTTGAAAATTTGAAAATGCTATATAAACAATGTTAATTCTTGTAAAATTCTATATTCTATATAATATATATATATACAAAATAAATGCATAAGGCACAAAGCATAAAGCATAAGGCATAATACATTATAATAAAATTGAAAGCATTTTTTTTTTTGTGTGATCATTGTCTATATACTTTAATAATATCAAAATCAGTGTTCGAAATTCGATCTGCAAGAATTTTTTTGCGCACATCCAAATTATCCAATTAAAAAAAAAATTTTTTTTCCGATTTATTTTTTTAAAATTACAAAAATTACTTCTAAAAAAAAATTCTTCTACTTTTTTTATTTATCCAATGTTCATATTCATTCTCAAAATTAAAATCCTCAATATCAGGTCCATTTAATTTAATAATTAAATGTTTATTTAATGTGCTAATATTCATTTTGTTTCTTATTTTATCCTTAATTAATTTTGTTTGAGAAAATATTCTTTCAACATTAGCATTTGAAAGAGGAATAATAAGTGCTATTTTATTTTAATTATTATTTTATTATTTATTAATAATTGATTATTTATTTATTATTATTGTTTTTAATTTTTAATATTAATATTAAAATCCGCACATTAGATTTGTTAAAAAATTTTGCGCACACAAAATTTTGTGTAACTTACTGCGCGCGCCGATTCCGCCGATTGAATTTCGAACACTGGTTACGATCTTGAAAAAATTTTTTTTCTTTAAACAAAATGGCAACTATGGAAAAAAAAGCGGAAAGAGAATACGAAGAAGCAAAGAGGAAGTTGGAGCGGTGGGAAGAAATGCGGGGAAAGAGGTTGGATGAGTTGAAGAAAAAATTGTGGAGGGAGGAGTATGGTGACGACGAAGGAAAAAAAAAGATATGGACGGAGGAGAAGGAGGATTTAGAAAAAGAGAAAATTGAGTTGGCAGAGTCGAAGAAAAGTTGGGAGGCGTTGTACCAAGAGGCGTTACGTGGAGGAATTGGTAATGAATAAATTATGTAAAAAAAAAAAATATAATTTTTCGTTCATTCCATTTCGTTTATTTATTTATTTGAGAGAGCATTTGTTTGTCCTTTATTCACCTCATTGTTCTTTTTAGGAAAAAGGGAAAGTCAATATGAAGAAGAACTTGAAGTGGATGAATGCGACAATGAAGGAGGAACTCTCAATGAAGAAACTTTCAATGAAGAAACTCACAATGAAGAAACTCACAATGAATCCAATCAACAAAACGATGATAATGATGATGATAATAAACATAAGGGTGTCATTGTCTATAGTGCAGAAGAAAACAATATTCCATCTCATTTTCGTGCTCTGCGAGAAGGTGAGACTCTTACTGACGAACAAATTGCTACAATATTAGAGCATCAAGATGAATACGGTTATTTAACACGCTATGCGGAATTAATGAAAAATGATGAATTGTTGCCAGTTAGTATTTATAAATATTTTAAATACCTAATATTATTAGCTTTTTTAAAAAATTAATTCATATTGATTTTATGAGAAAGGCATATGGAGATAGTGATCCAGAATTATATGATTATTCTAGTGAATTTGAGGCAGAAGTTTACGAATCAGAAGAAGAAGCTGAAATAAAGAGAAATCAATCTTATAATGATAATGATAGCAATCAAAATAGTCAAAATAGTCAAATTGATCAAATTGATCAAAACAATAACAACAGTGGAAATAATGACAATATCAGAAAAATTAGATATCGTATGTTTGGCAAAATAATAAAGAAATATATTTTGGATCAAAAACTCGCTTGGAAACTTTTTGAGCAAGTATTTTTTTTTGTTTTTTGTCTTTATTATTGTTATTATTATTGGTTAATTTTGAATTTATTTAAAACAATTCATATATATTTTAGCATGCCAAAATATTCTAAAAGAGAATATTACTATTGGAAAAAATATCACTCTGAAAGTTCAATTGAATTACTTGTAGCGGATATAAGAAAATTAAGAGATACTGTAATAATTTATTTTTAAAAAAATTTAATGATTATTCTTTTTAATAAAATTCCTATCAATATAATGTTAATTTATAATTTTATTATAAAATAGAGATTGACAAACATCTGTGAAAATTTACTAAATAATATAAATTTAAAAGCAATTAATTCTGACAATCACAAGAAAATATTTCGTCAATTTGGTGCAACTGATCAAACACTCAAAGAAATATTTAAATTAAGATGGTTAATTAAGCTTGCAAAATCACCAGTTCCACCACAAAAACCTAAACCAAAAAAAAGGTCAAAACCAAGCAAGGTGTTTAAAGATATATTCTATACATTTATTGTATTTATTTTTCTTTAAAAATTAATCCATTAATTCCTAAATAAATTTATATAATGATACTGTTTTAGAGAAATGTCAGAGATGAAAAACTTACGGATGATGAAAATTCTGATGCTACAATTACAGATGAAGAACTTACTGATGACAATTTTATAGATGATTCTGACGCACCAAATATTGAAGAACTACAAAAACTTTCAATGGAATTGGCCAATAATGGCATTATTCCGGGTAATGCAATTAAGTCACTACTGCTATCATTAATACTACTTCTGCTGCTGCTATATTGTAATCAGTATTTGTTAAAATAAAATAATCATATTACCTTTAACATCAAATTTGTCATATAAAGGACCTGGAAAAATCGTAAAAATTCCATTAAAACTTAATCCACCAGTAAAAAACCCTACCAAGTCTAAAATTGTTAAGAAACATAAAGTGAAGAAGGGTAAATCCAAGAAAAAGGGATCTATAAAACCACTCGAAGAAATTGTTGAAGTTGAAGGAATGGAAATCGATGAACAAATTATGGATAATGAAAATGATAGCGATGAACAAATGTTGGGCATTGAAGAACCAAGACCTCGTAATGGAGATTTCTTAACACAAGAGGAGGTTGCTGAATTGGAAAAAGATATTGTATCGCACGTTTGTGAAGATGATCCAATCGTCTCTGAATCAGAGCCAGACACAGAAGAGTTAGATGAAAGATTTGAGAAATTAAAATCTTTTGTTGCAATTAATAATGATAATGGTAATTGATTTTTTGGTATTTAATCACATACAAGTATAATTATCTTGTTAAGTGTGAATTAATTATGTAAATTATCTTATTATTATATTATAGAAATTTACGAAAAGATGACAAGATTGTCTCTAAATTTGGCACGTTTGATCCCAACCAAAGACGAGGATAGCCTAATAATTGCAGCATATGCTTTCAGGATGTTTATCTATCATCTATGTGAAGATAATGCTGAATATAGAAGACTTTCACTTGATTTAGATTCTGATCGTAGAATCTTTTTCAAAAAATTCATTGTTGATTTCAGAAAACAGGTAGCAAATGCACCATTTGCCGATGACAATGACAATGGGGAAATGAATGAAGAGTATTTTTTTTTTTAATTAAATTGAAATTGAATAAAAAAATAAATGATGATGATCAGTAATAATGAATAAATTTATTTTTAATATTTATTCATTTAAATAGAAATGATTCTTCATTTGAATTGGAAAATTCACCATCAACGATTAATGATGATAGTAACGATACTTTTAGTGAGATTGAAGAAGATGATGAAAGTGACGATGAAACAACAACAAAAGGGAAAGGGAAAGGGAAAGGGAAAAAGAAAAATACAAGTCATAAAGCTGTTTTGCAGCAATATAAATTGAGAAATTCGGATGAAATGGCATTTAAAAAACGTTACGAGGAGTAAGTTTCTTAAAAAGTCTTTATTCTTATACATATATATACACATATATGTTTATCTATGTTTATATTTATATAACTATTTAGACAACAACAATCTCTAAACTTTTCTAGCCAATCTAGTGGCGTGAGTATTATATTATATATATTTATGTGAAATAAATTATTATTATTGATGACTGGCTTATTGAATTTTTGGTTTTTATAAGATTATTATCAATCTTGGTCATTTGGAAGATCAAGAACATATTTGTATTCCTAATGCCTTAGGATCAAAATTAAAAAAACATCAGGTTTGAATTTATTGAAATTTAATTTAAAATTTTCATTTCATTTCATTTTTTATCGTTATTTATATTAGATTGATGGTGTAAGGTTTCTTTGGAAGAATATTGTCATGTTTAACAAAGGATGTGTTCTTGCTCATTCTATGGGCTTAGGTGTGTCTCATTACATTTAAGTCTAACAAGAAATGTTTTCATCTAAAGATTAATTTTTTATTCCTTCTTGGTCTCGATATGTTATATATTATAGGGAAAACAATGCAAATTATTACTTTCCTTGCGACTCTCAAAATTAGAATTCTTCAAAAGGATCAAAATATTCCAGAGCATTTAAACGTAAGATAACATTATTTGTGAGATATTCGTTTTAATTTTTCTATTTTAGTCTTGTTGATTTTCCTTTTTTTGAAAAAAGGATTTCCATGTTGTTATTGTATGTCCAAAAATCGTTATGGAGAACTGGGAAAACGAATTTAATAAATGGCTAGATAAGAATTCTGGATTAAATAATTTAATACGTGTTTATAAATATTGTAATTAATAGAGTTTTTCCCAACTTTATATATATATATATATATATAGCTATTTATTAATATAACTAATTTTTTTGAAATAGCGAGTAATAGATCTTTTGAGGAGTTGGAGTTATGGTGGATGAATGGTGGTGCATTATTAATTGGATATGAAATGCTAAGAAGTTATCTCAAATCAGATTCTGATTCCAAATACTTCCTAAACTCATCTTTATTCATAGCTGACGAAGGACATATTTTGAAAACAGCAACAGTAAGTTTTAGCAACAAGCAAATTTATATATATATTTACACTGGTCAAAAAGTCAAAAAATCTGGTAACGATTTTTTGGCCAAGTTAAACTCGGTACTAGATTTTGGCTTGGCTTGTGCATTATTTTAACCAACTCATGCTAAAGTAAATTGGGACTTGATTTTGATTAGCGTTTTTATTTATATTATTCATTTCTTAACAATTATTAGACTATTCTACCTACAAAATTAAGAGAACTTGTAACCAAAAGCAGGATAGTATTAACTGGCACTCCATTGCAGAATAATCTTGTATGTATGATATATATATATTTTTTATTACAATTATTTTCTAATAAAATATTTATGTTTAATTGGAAATTTAGATGGAATGCTGGTCGATGGTTTGTTTTATAAATAAGCATTTATATGTGGGTTTTTTTGAAAATTTTTATATTGCAAATTTTAATTGAATAATTTATATATAAGATTGACCTTGTATGCCCTAATTATTTGGGGGATTCAGAAGAGTTTAAAAAAATTTACCATAATCCCATCGTATTTGGTCTAAATAATAATCATGATGATCTAAAGGTTTATTATTATTATTATTATTATTATTATTATTATTATTATTATTATTATTATTATTGGTAGTAGCAATTGTTGAATTTTTTTTTTCCTTTTCATCCTCCATCATCATCCTCTTTGACCAATTACTATCATTTTTTTTTCTTATTTAGCGATCTAAAAAGATGCAATTAGTATTTAAAAAACTAATGATGGATGTTGTTCATAGGTATTTAAAAATTCATTAGTCTTTTTATAGAAGCATATCCTTTTTATAGTTATATTCAGGGTTTGAAATAGGAGTGTGTCGCACATTCTCAAATTTTCTATATATTCCACGCATAAAATTTGCATTTTTTTGGAGATCAATTTTAATCACTGGTCATATTCATTCATTTTTATAAAAAAAAATAGATGCAGCGTTGAAGTAGTTGTGAGTGAACTTCCTAGAAGATACGATTATATAATTCTATGTCGTATGAAAGATGAACAGTATAATCTTTATAAAGTAATTTACATTTATATTTATATGTTTTATGTTTTATATTAAGGGTTTTAACAATATTATGTTTTTATTGAATTTATATAGGATTTTTTGGAAACTAGTGAAAAAAACAACATTTTAAAAAATATCATTAACTTTTCAAATCTAATTACATTAATTTTAAATCATCCCAGGATTGTCACTGTAATATATTTATACATTTATTTATTTTATATTAATTTCATTGCAAATTAAATTTTTTTTTTCTCATTGATAATAGTTATTTAGTAATGAAAAAAAGAAAGCTGCTACTATTTCTTCAGCTTCTAAAGAAAAATCAGCAGCAAAAACCAATCATAACAGTAACGATATGATATTTCAAAGCAATATAAATGTAAACAATGCTTTTAACTCTGCCAACATTAATCCCACATACTTCTACAACAACCCCACTGTCACTAAAAATCCACAAAATGATCCACAAAAACTCGTAAATCATAGTTTTTTACCAACTACAGTAACGAATTCAAATCCTCAATTTACATTTGCTGGGCCAACAATGCCAGTAACTTTTAATCAAACGCCTACCAGTCCTTCCGAACCAGGTAAAATAAAGATAACTCTTATTAATTGATATAATTATTTTTAATAATGAAAAAAACCCCCTTTTTGCTAATAATGTAAATTTTTTTGTAATAGTAATAATTGATTTAACAGCAGATGATGACGACAACAATGCAGTTGAAGAAACTGAGTAAGTATTTTTTTTTGTTTTCAAGAAGAATGATTTTAAGAATTTTAATACGTAACCTTTATTTTATTTAAACATAGACTTACTTCTGCTTGGATGTGTCTTGATAAGCTAGCAAGCACTATTAAAAGTAATAATCTATCATTCAATATAAAAATTATTCATCCGAGTAACTTGTCTTAAAATTACTAAATAAAAATTTTTGTTTGTTGTAGATATTGATAATTATGAATTAAGTTCTAAACTTGTTATTCTAAAAAATTTGCTCGAAACTTTCAGATCTCATAATGACAAAGCATTAATTTTCACCAGGAGTATTCCATCACTTGGTATGCTAACATCATCATTATTGTTATTATTTTATTATTATTATTTATATCTTTCTATTAATCATTACGAATTCGTTATTATGTTATTATTAAGATTACTTGGAAACCTGCTTTACACAATGGTGTGAAGAATGGAATATAGAGCCCAGAAAATCTTATATGAGGATCGATGGACATGTACAATCTGTAAGGTTATTTTTTTTATCAATACAATTATTTAAATTCATTGTTTAATTATTAATTTAATTATCATCATTTAACATGTAATTAGAATCGCCAATCAATGATTAATAGTTTCAATGCTAATCTTACTTGGCAAGTTGCCCTAATAAGCACACATACATGTGGGGTTGGGATAAACTTATATGGTGCAAATAGGGTAGTTTTATTTGATGTCGAATGGAATCCTAGGTAATAAATACTTTTTGAAGTAGTAGCTGTTGATAAAGATTGATATTTTATTTTTTTAATATTTTTATTATATTAATTATTATTATTAATATTATTATCGATTTATCTTACAAAGTTATGCTGATCAAGCCATTGGAAGGGTGTTTATTTATTATTTAAAAATTTTATATTATATAAAAATTTTTTAAAATAATCAACCGTTATGCAATTAACATTTTATTTTGTGATTTTTTTAAAGGTATATCGTTATGGACAGAAGAAGTCAGTATATTCATATAGGTTGTTGACAGCTGGAACCTTTGAGGAATCACTTTTTTTGAATAATGTCTTTAAAATGGGATTGTCATACCTTATCCTTGATAATAAAAATACATTGCTACATGAAAATTTATCAAGATGTGTGATGAGTATCCCTGATCCAAATCTTGAGTGTAGATTAAAGGATACTCTTAATTTTGATGATGATGCTCTGAATACCGTAGGCAAAGAGTAATTATAATTTAAAATTTCTCTAAAATTGAAGATTTTTATCAATCGATACATTATCAATACGTTTATAATTATTCATTTATCTTTAACTAGTCTTAGAGATCAAATTATTGATATACGTTATGTAGCAGAATATTTTAACAGCGATGATCGTAATCTAAATGAAGAAGAAACAAAAGAAGCTGAAAATATCTTTGAGCAGGAAAAAGAACGGTTAAAAACTCGTCGACAGAGCGTCAGAAAAACCAAACAGAACCTTCATATAGATTACAATCAAATTTAATTTGTCTTTTTATAATTATATATATACATATATACACACACATTATTTGTTACTCATTGCTAATATAATTAAATAATACAGGGACCGTGTTGCTGAGAAAATTAAGGATGGGGTAAATGATACCCAGTTTTGATTGAATGAACCCCATAATTGGCAGACTATAATGAGTGACTTCTTCATGACTTACTACAAAGCGAAGACATAAATGTTTGTAATAACACCCAAAGAAGTTAATGTTGATTATCTCTAAATCTATAGAACACCGAAAATTCGGCCTAACCGAGTTTATGGGTGATCATTAGCATTAGTTATTTTAGTAATTATCCCTTAAACGGACAAAAATTGGAGACCCTACTAGACAAAAAAATTATTAAGTGTCCCTTATTTTTATTTTATTTTTTGATAGAAAAGGTCATGTAATTTATGTATGAATATTCATTTTAAATAAAATTATTTTTTTAGAAGCTTTATTAATACCGAATAAGTGTATTTTTTTTTAAAAAATTAGTTTTTGTATTTTTGAAATAATTATTGATTTCAACCCTGGGGCTCATAGATATAAATTATGTAATTTGATCTGCTTAACAAGTCTTGTTAATAGTGTATGCATATCGGCTAATAATTTTAGGGGGGGTCATGAGGCTACGTAACCAGATTACAAATTTTTATATTAAAAAAAAGATCTGCAAACTTTTACGTTTACACATTATATCTCTCTATTTAGGGTGTTTTGAATAAATAAGAAGTTGTAGTGAGACCGCAGGAAAAGGCCTTTTTTTGTAATTTATGAATCACAATTGCAAATTGCGTCCAAATCTGGACGCAATTTTGTTTAAGGGATAGTAATTATATATTTTGCTGGTTCTACTTAAATATCGTGATATTTTTTATATGCAAATTGGGCGTAATTTCTAAACCAAAAAATGTTCTACATGAATAGATCTGATGTTGATTGCATGTATCAGATTTAATTAAAACTTCCTATCACAAACATGCAATCGCGATGCAATTAAGCACAATCCAGCATCATGGAATGTTTTCCACAGGGTGAAGGAGGGTTGAACATGTTGGAAGGCTTTGGACAAAACTTCCCTATCTTCCCCTCAGACCAGGCTTGGCTGTCACTATATGGGCATTGATCGCTGATAGCTGGCATTTGTGTGATGATTGCTGTGTGTTATTGCCACACTAGCATAAAAGTTGGCACCTGCAACTGGTTCAAAATTCTGCAACTCAGAAGGTTGCAACCTGGGTTGCTGTTTTAAATTTTCCCTGAATTCAGAGTTTGAGTCCTGGGTTGCTGTAATTTTTATGAAAAGAAAAGTATTAATATTTAACAATTAATTATTTAAATGTTTATT